TGTAACTCGGTTTCTAAGGCAGGCTGAAACAGGTTACAAAATAACAAGATGGACGGCTCAAGGCAGGCTGGTCAGTCACTCATAGCTGGACGGTTATGTATTCAAGCTACCAGTCAGAATATCACGGGTTCGAAACTCCTGTGAGTCTTGTAATATGCAAACTGCTGATGATTCCCGAAGAACATGAAACAGCTCTGCCAGGCTCTTTGGCTTTTCGGCATAGACTGACCTCACTTACGGGAAGAAATTACGAAAATTATGAAAGGTATCCATCATACCACCATGCTATAGATTTTTGTGTTATCGTGCTTCCAAATACTACTTATAATAAGTACTTAATCTGGACATTAAAAGAGCTGTGACCACGAAGTTGGGGTAAACTTCTACTAAGCCTTTAACCTTATTGAGGCTGAGAAGTCTAGCAGAACAGCGGCAACCACCCCTAGACTCATATGGGTGATTCACAAATCACTTAATCGAACAACCCATGAGAGTTTTTGAATACACTATTGATCACATCTGGAAAATCATAGAATACGGACAAGCTGTTTCTGATACTGTCGTCCAAGAACAGAGCAAGGTTATAGTAGAAGATCCAACGCGGTGACGGACCTCAAAACTATCTTAAGAAAGTAGTCAACAAGTACTTGTGGTTTACCTGTAAGATGGTTTTATGTGGCATGGAAACGGAGCTGAAAGTTTCTCCTATGGTTTCAGAGAAGCGCAGACCTATGTAAGCTGCATAAGCAAGTCAGAATTCATCATGACCTGTTGGTTGCTTCGTCTACATATATATACTTTACTATATACTATATATGCTGTATACATATATATCTCGGGATCGCCTGTTTTATGGTTGACTAGAGAAGCAATACATATTGGCGAGACTTCAAGAAATCCCAATAGGGCAACCTCTTGAAACGATTTCTAATTACCCAGCCGAAAAGTCAGTAGCATGCTGAGCCTTGCGAGAAAACCGTTGATAACATTTGGACGAGCAAGTTACTGATGAGTATCACAGGAAACCTGGTTCCATATAGACATCAGTTGAACCCGGCCTTGTATATAGTTCCGCTTACAAAAAAATCACATTCTGATATATTGAACAACAAGCAAACTAAGAGGTAGTTGTTGCATTGTTGAAAGGAAGCCATTTCTGGTTCTTAATTTCGCTCTACACCAGCTTGTATCCGCCTGCGTAATTTACACATCAGTTTCTGTTTGGGTGTGTATCGAACCTAGACGGGCGCGTCTTTTCGAACCTCATTGAACACAATCATTTAACTCACGATGAGCCATTCGAGTTGCCCATCAGAGCATACAAAGTGTAGATAGCCCCTTGAAGACCGTAATCAACAAGCTAATCAGGGTCACCAGACAGCACTTAGATAAGCAGCCGATAGTAGTAGGAGAGCCAAATATCCCTTATTGTTCCAAGGCGAGTGATAAGGGAATATACGTGAGGAATACATCTTTCACCTACTGGGTCAAAATTAGACTAGCACTACACCTGACCCAGTGGTATTCTGGCAGACGAACACACCGTCTGCTACATGGACAAACGAAGAAATCACTACACCTCCCGTGGTTAAACTCAGCCAGTTCAGCTGAAGGCTAAACAAATCTTATGCGATTGCAACTCAATAAGGTATGAAGTTCTCTGTTGTTTACACGCTGCTAACTTATTCTATCAATGCTATCAAAATGCCGATAGTGAGGATGTTTCACGGAGTCCATTACTCTGATAATTACCCATGTACTAGTTAACTATTCCCACACCGTGGTAACTTTTGCTTCGTGACGTTGGTTATCCACAGCTTCGGCAGGAAGTGGTCAAGATGCATAACAAGATGCAACTCTTCCGTAAATATAAAGTATTTCAATTCGGTTGTTGGACCCTTCGAAAGAAACCTTTCCCTGAGGTTTTCCGCCCACTGGATCATTTCAAAGCAAGAGTGGCTTTGTCAGTTGGAATGCTTTCTTTTAGAACGGTACTAGCATACTGAGTGAAAAAGTCGCGGTATATTACAAAAGAAAAAAAGGCAAAAAGATCTCATGGAGCTACGAATATTGAAATGCTGGTAACTTTTTTCTGTCGCAAGCCGTGGGGCATATCCTGACGTAGGCCCGGCATACACTTCGCGACCTGTACTATTCTTCGTTCTTCTGTAGGGGTCACCGTAGTCTGCTGTTGACCTTTGGTGCATGAGTAGAAGGTAAAAGGCACCAAGGGGGCATTCAGCACTCCAAACAGCGTTGGACTGCGAATGTGAGAGTTCCTCTCAAGCAACTACGTGTCGGTGAGCTCACAGCTCGCGTTACTGCTGTGTGCACAAGTATTTAAAGTTCAGTGCATGAACACTCTAAGGTTGCTTGTGGTCCTCAGTAAAACTACCCCTACTTTGTTTGACCCTTTGATTTCGCCTCACCTGGTTGGTCTAATAGATCAAGACGTTTGGTTAAAGGCAAAAACTTACCATGTTTTTTATTTTGACCTGCATCCCCTATTAGTCAAATGGCCACCTGCCACTTCTTATATCCCCAGGTCGTCATTCAGCATAAGGTGCAGTGAGCTGAGAATGCGTGATGGTAAATCGATGTAGATTAGAAATAGCCTCAATTGCTGGACGGTTCATTGTGAAACTCCCCGAAAACAACCTGTTCCTTAAATAACACCTTTAGTACAGCTGAATTACATATACTTTGATCATTTATGTAGCACTCGTTTCATTCTCGATTTATGAAAATTTTTATTGATAAAATCGCTTCTGCGGTCGGAGGATGCACTGGAATCCACACAATGCATGTGTCATGTACCCGTTTCCAATGCTTTGAAACTTGCGTGTCAGTAGGTTTGCGAGGAAAGTTCTTCACCCTTGATAACTGAGGCCAAACTATCGCAGAAGATATCCGATGTCTTCTCAATTATTATTGTGATTCAGGTGCAACAGCCGCTAAACAAACAGTCCTGTAACCGTTCAAAACCTTTCCGTTACTATTTAGGAAACGCCTTTGCCGAATCTTCAGGAAGTTCTTCCATCTGCAGGCACTTATTTCAAAGCATCCAATGATGTGAAACTGAATGCAAAAGCTTTGAACACAAACCCGCGCATCCCTAATTTTACGTGTTTACGGTGGCATGGTAACGTTCCGCGCACTCAAGACTAGTTCCACTACTAAATTAAAACACTGCATTTCTTGTTACATACAGCAACCAGACACTGATCACAAACTGGGAGAGTGTCCCTTCTAGAGGCATGGAATCCTGCCAACTATGGGTTGATCGATGTGTCTAAACAGCTAGATTTCTTTGTGAGGATTCATCCAATTCATCTGTGAAAAGCTCGCAGTGGTTGAACTAAAGTGTACGGTAACAACCGCTTAAGCAAATCAGTCTTGGACTATAACAGTGCACACCAAATTTGTTGTTAGGTTTCCGTCTTGGTGTACTTTGCGTGACGACAGAAACTAAGTCGTCACGGACACAAATTTGCCTGACTATGGTCCGCAAAAACCCGGACACGTATGCACACGTATGATGCACCTTGTGCAGCTAAATTGGCATTCAAAGAGCCTTTCTGTGACCAGGTTTCCGTAACTGCCACAGTGTGGTTTGCGTCCGTATCTATATGAATTTCTTCTTGTTCGTCAGTTATGCTTCTCACGTTGAATGAATAGGACAAAACTTAGGGAATTCATTTATGGTTGTGAAGACGACGAAAATCGCAACAACAGTTGCTTACAAACTACCTAAAGGTCAGGAAGATCAAATATCATTTTCCATCCGTTCCATAATATGCGTGAATGCAACCGCCATGTAAACAGGTCTTATGAGTGCAAGTCTAACAAAACTAACATTGCTTCTTCCAGGACACTAGCCCATATATAATGCTTGTAAAGAAAGTACTACACACAATACCGTCGGTATTGAACAAGAGTAACTATGTACATTAAGAATAACCACTCGGCCGTAAGCTGATAATCTGCGCCCATCATCGGGTAGAAAACGTGCATTTTTCGAACTTTGGGAACGGCTCAGGTCTGAAATATGTCTTAAAAACTGTTTGCATGGACTCGTATATTCATTTGATCCACGAATCTTTTGCTTGAATTGACATTACCTGAGATGATAAGACCTAGCAACAGAAAGGTGATACCCCCGGTTGCCTTCAACGCGCGGGGGGAATCAGAGGTACTATTTTTGCAATATTCTCTGAGCTTTCGAGTGCTACTTTCAGATGTGTTCAGAGTCCCTTGTTCCGCCAAGCAATTTCTGCTGTGGTAGGCTTGAACGGCCTTACATGACACACCAGTGAGAATGCACCTTTCCGAAATTCTACAGCGCCATTGAGTTCTGGCATAATATGAGTGAAAACGGTAAACAGACGGCTGGTTTTGTCACCCGAATAGTTCTTGCCCAAGGAAGACTTCCTCCGAAATTGCCCGCGCTTATTCAATACATTATTATCACGACGTTCCAGAATAACGTAGGTTCGAACTTTCTCGTAGTCACCACAATGATCAAGTTTTGAGCACTGTGCGGCGTTAAGCCACAAGCGCTAAAAAATTGGGTAATTCATTTTAAGCATTAGTCGGGAGCTTTCAGGGCCAACTTGAGACTCACTCTTCTATATGAAAGTATTGCATCTGAGTCTCCCTTAACCCAATGAAGTCCGATATGTACACATCTCGATGTGGTCCGAATTTCGTTCTCGTCGTATATCCGTACTGGTTCCGAATGCCTGCGACACGCCCCTTGGTTCTCACGAACCGACCTCATTTCTTCTCAGGTAGGCGTCACCCATCGGATTACCAACCTTCTTTCATGTAGTTTGTTAGTCCGTCATGAAAGGTGCTTCCATTCTTAAAGACCAGGGAGAGTTCGAGCTAGAATGGGATACCCTACTACTGTCGACTCTCGAGTGCGAGGCTCGACCAATGATTTTGTCATAAGTACGGGGTCATGGTCAACACTCATATCAAACTAGGTGAGAACTGACCTGAGAAAATCCGGGAAAACATCAACTAGTGATATAGCTTCGGCTGTGTGTACGGCAGTAGACTCAAGTGGAACTGTCCCGTATCTACCGCCTGAAAAAGTTAGATATCAAAAAATGAATCTTCACCTGGGTTAATCAGTAAGGTCGTCACAAGCCCAAGAAAAGAACCGGTGATGTTCATGAAGACACAGTATACGAAGGAGAGAAGTGCGATTTTTCCTTGGGAAGCTGGATTCAACCTGGCAGCCACTGACAAGAATGCCATCATAGTTAGACAGTGAACAAACCCACTGGCAATTATATTACATGATAATAACGGTATCACAGAAAAGTTAAGTGCTCGCATGAATAGTTCACCTGGCAACCCTTGATCGGATGATTCACCAGATTAGAGACATACCTATGTATAATACGGCAATATCTGGAGCTTTAAAGATTTTCATTATTATCCCTACGGCGACACCGACGATAATGCACAATGTTGTGCACACCAAAAGTGCGTTCCGTTTCAAACATGACCTTATGTCGCAAGGTGTCCCCATCGGGCAGGAAAGGGAGCGACAAACGTGACAAAACCGACCAGCGCACCGCAGCCAAGGCCATCTATGACCTTGAAAATTTCTCAATTTTATGCAGGAAAACACAGAAACCAAATATTCATTTATTACAGGGACAAGGCAGCAGCTGTTTGTGTGCGATATATATCGTGTATGCCGGGGAAAACAACAAATAAAGCTTTGGTTAGTAGCAGTCTGGACTGGGTGTAGATGATATCCATAGTCATGTTTAAAAAATATGCAAGTAGATTAGAAGCATTGTATTTCCTTCTTCGCTGGTTTCCCAACGTTCCGGATCCCTGAAAAAATAAGTTTGGATCACCTAATGATTCATCAGGTTAGTTGACCAAGCTTTCGGTTTCTGTCAGTGCAACCACAGCATCGCTGTGCATATTATTCCGAAGCCAAGTATTAAACAGTGGAGGATATCAAACAAGAAAGCCTTTGTCGTCACCTACTGCTTTGCTTGCACGCGCGAAGATCGGTACATAATGTCACACGAAAAATGCTGGAGTGTTACCACCGTTGCCCGTTTATAGCATCTGAGTTCAAGATGTCTGAATTCCGGCGAGGAACAGGTTCCAAGTATGAAAAGATGTCCAGTTACGTACTGTAGCAATCTATCACACCTGTTTCTCGCAAGCATGTGTGCGCACGGTTATATTGGAAGTCCAACAAGAGAGATCGCTGGTGGGTTGATTCTGGTCTGCAGACTGATTCAAAATCCTGTATCAAGTTAGAGGTATTTCGACTGCCTTGTTTAGATGCATGTGGTTCACCACGTCTGTTGATTTGTTATAGTCAGTCCCAACGAATAGCACTCATATGACCTGTGTAAATTGTGCGTGTATGTATGCGCAAGCAAACTCAGATTGAATGAAAAGCAAGAAAGGAAGCTTTGTTCTCCTTGGGTGTACGAATCCGTTGATGACTACCAGTGACCACGTACAGAAAACTATGGAAGCAACCTGACTTTTGAAGACATTCGTGTCCTATGCGATATGATTCAACGCATGGACAGTCCTGTCTGGGGTGTGCACGATATCAAAGACGCCTTGCAAATATTTAAAGATTTGGTTTTGTCTGTTTGTGAGGAAAACAGTTAGCATATTCTGGAACTGTGTACTTTTTGAGAGGTACGGTGATATGTGCAGACAGATTCCACAAGTCGGTGCAACTGTGGTGGCCACCACCTGCGACATGAAATAGTCACCTTAGTTCCAAATAAGCTGCATTCGGTCGGCTTTACCCTCTTATCCTCGATGAGCCGCAGTTTTGTTACCATACTGTGGTGGAACGTTCTGTTACCGGTGAATGCTGGTTGAGTGAGTCAATTGGACAAAATGATGTGTGTATTGAAAGACACAAGACAGCGGTGCCTGATGCCGCTGGTTTTTCTGTTCTTCCATGTCATACAAGGTTTCAGGGTTAAGGTTGACAACCTCGGATAAAGAGGTCTTGTTTTCCTGGTTCAAATGAAAAGTGAGTTTTAGGATGATGAGCAAAATGGGGTCCGTGCTATCTGACCAGAATTCGGGCAAGGAATAATAACCATGCCTCAGCGAGCACTGCCTGTCTCACCTAACCACCCAGACAAAGCATGTTGTCGCCCTTAGTATTGAAACGGGTAACCAGGTCGAATGGGTCAGTACGTATGCGAAGAGACACTGGCTGAATCATTCTAGTTGCTCACCTATGTCCATGCCATTATCATTAGGAATCAACAATAAGAAATAAATTACCTACGATACACTGGTGTCCCAATCACTCTTCGATGGCCTTAGATTTGACTGTTCTTAATGGTGAGATGCTAGTTTTCGCGAAGCCTTATTCCGTCAATTAAACATTTTTGCGTTAAAACTTATCATTTTGATGTATATATGCTCATATCAAAAACGATAATAATCTGCCTTAGTTTTGTTGGACTTTTCATCACTAAACTCATATTCCCCCTAGTAGTTGGCGCACATTCCATTTTTGGAACTGTAGTGCTGCGTCGCCAGATACGTGGAGAGATTTACCTCTGTCCGTCTTTCATCCATCATGTCATTTAAGAAAGCGTTAAATGGGTACGTGATGGATGACTGTGTGGTGTTTGTCGTGCAGCGTGTGATAAAAACACCAGCGCTGAGTTGCGTCGCGAGCGGGTATAATACAAATGCAGCAGGCGGCCGGAGATACCAAGACTAATTCGGGGATCCGAAGTAGCTAATAAGTTGAGCGTGTGTGGTTATAATAAACAGTACATGAAACACCGGCTGACCGGTTCACTCTTGTCTGACGAGGTGTAGAGACTATCTCGTACCCACAACTTATTACGTGGAACGCAATAATAAAATCTCCGAATTTGTGTATGACCGACCGGTACCACCCGGTACTTATACATCTACTGTCAGGATTGTCGGCCACCTCTATCAAGTAAGTGACAAAATCTTGGGTTTTATTTTAGCGGGTGATGTGCCTTCGGTCTTGACAAAGCCTCGCGAGTCCGAAGGTGTGGCTGTGTCGGAGTCCAGGTAAGGTCAATACAAACCCATATGCTTCACTGGATGGCAACATATGGTGCTGTTCGGAAAATTTCAGATGTAGTAAGTGTTGATGAAACCCACGCGACGAACCGATTTGGTTGGGTCTTTCCAGAACAACGCGTTTATGGCCTCCAAACACAAGTCTCAAACCTTCCCGATCACAAATAACTTGGTTACCGGACATCCGGCCATGCATATTCCCGTGGAAAGCAAACAGTTTACTCCTATGAGTAAACTCCGGGAGAATGATCGGCGCCGAGTCCTAGAAAGTGTGTGCTTGGCAAACGTGTGGCACATATTCGGGTATCGAGAGTAGTATTCGGCTGCGATGTCACCGTGTGCCACTTCCATCTTCGTCAAGCTATGAGAAAGCACGTATTTATTATTTAAAATCCATGCTTTTAGTATTTTTGCTTCTCTGTGGGACATACATACCGACCAAAACGACCAGTAAATACAAATTTTTATCTCAGTTAGGATTGTTCAGCTGCTCGCCATGATTGACTGAGGTCACATGTTATTACTTGATTAGGCATCGCAGAACTTGGTACTTCCGCGCTGATATCAAGTATCGCATCATAAATTCGACCTGCCAGCATAGGTCATCATCCTCTCCAGTTCGTTGTATCTACGACGAGTTTTTCGAATAAGATGGTTTTTTCTGTAGTGGTATTTGCTCGGAGCAGCTACTCGCGGGGTCGAAAAACAGGTGATGTCTTCTGTCCGTTTGAACGGTATATACAAAGACCATGATCACAACGAAGCCTCAGCATTTTCGTTAAGTCAATACAGCCTCTGACATCCATTATGAAGTTACAAGCTATATACGTTTCATTGGGACGGATGGCATGGGAATCGGGTGACCTGCGACGTATGCCTTCATCGAAAGCGTTCGCTTTTCTCCTTTGAGTAAAGTGCTTGTTCAAGGACGTAGTGGTGGACAATACTCGCCCAGGACGTCTTTCACGGAGATGACGTCGCTCATTCAGGATACCAAAGCTGTTTTCGGCTGCGGCATAATCTGTGCTATTTTCACCCACGGTAAGTCATCTGGAAGCGCATACGTCTAGTTGCGCGGCTGTAACTCTTGCAGACGGTTCCCCACCGCAGCCGCAACACACCACTGCATGGCCGTCGTTGATAACACAGTTGAGTAAGTGACTGTGCACCGGACAGCAATCACGTAGGTTTTGCCACAGCTCACATATCCTGAGGAGGCCCGACCTTTTTCCCCCATTTGAATGCCCCTGGTTGTACGCCGTTCAAAACTTCCTCATTCGTGCACATTGCAGCTCTGCACGTTTCTGGAATTAGGCCAACAGCCGTCTGGAGAGAGGCAAAGGGCGTTTGAAGAGGCACACGCCTCACGTCGATAAGCCGGAGCACGCCGTACAAGTCTGTCGGTAGGGCGCACGGCTCAAGAGCGAGTGAGATATACAAAATTTATCATTGCGACCGGCTAGAAATCTGCGGGGGGTGTAGCTATGTTGCAATTGTGATTTCCCGGATGACGCTAGTCAAACTCCAAGGCACACTGGCATGTGCACACTAAATCTGATGTACCATCAGAGAGAATGCTTGAAGGTGAAAAACCCGTCAGTAACGGTCTATGATACAAATCTCAAAATTTTCCCAGACGGTTGACACCTCGGCTAGTTTCTGCACATGTGCATTTTATCAGACTATGAGATCACACTGCGTACACTTGTTCTCGGTATTCAGAGGCCCTTACTTTCCCGTGCGGTAAATTATTTAATCAAACATGCATTGCCTAGGTTGATTTTTCTTCTATCAACGGTGGCTAGTCAAATGCAACATACCCGAATGGGGTGTGTCTTGATTGCTGGTTCCGAGGTCACAGCCATCTTCAGAAGCAGTTTTGCACAAGCGGCTGAAACGCTTGGCTGGCAAACTGAATTCGCCGGAGCCACCTAAAGCTTCTAGCTGTACGAGGAATTCGATTGTACAGACGCAGCTGACGTAACGTCAGAATTCAAGCACTGCACTGAACAGCAGCCTGCGGTGCTGTGGACAACCGTCTTATTGCTAACTGGCGTTCTACGCTGATGGATGATGTTCACTGCGATTTCTGTAGCCAGCCAACTGACCCTGCTGATTACCGGGGTCCGGGAGATCGAATATTATATCATCCTTATTGCTGCAGTAATGAGCCTTACTCATTGTTTGGGGATCCTCAGTTGCCTTCACTGGGTTGATTCGGACATACTAACTAAGTTTTTCCTCTAGTCACCGGTCCATTGCGAAAATGCATCCACCCGTAATTCGGGCGATCGACTAAGATAGCATGCTATAATGAGTATCTTCATCGGCTAATGGAAGCCTCATATCTAACTGCTGTTCCCACTCAAGCGCCTAGTGCCAGAAAAGGACTCATCAACAAGGAACACAACAGCTTTGTTGCAACAAGCAAGCGAGTGCAAGCGCAAGTCACAACAT